TCAGCTGCACGTATGCGTATACACACATCTTGAATAACTTATGAAAACTATCCTGACGCGGGTGAATCAGGACACGTTGACACTTTCCCAAATGGGCTCAGAAAATGTCTGGAGTAGTTTTGGGCACCTTCAAACTTGTACGAGGAACCCATGTGGTACCTGGAAGGGTTTTAATGAAATCAGTTTCCAGAGCCTCAAACTTCCTACGTACCCAATCTTAACACTGGTCTGAGGACAACCTGGGGCGGAAGCTGTCCATTCTCTCCTGACCCGTCACTGTCATCCGTCTCCCACGCTACAGAGGAGAGACATACCTGTCACACACACCCCCATCCTTCCATGTCCATCTCCCTGTGATGTGAGTCCCTCCAGGCACCAAAGACGGAGGCATTTGAAACATTCGTGTCTAGCAAGCCTCCTTTAATCAGGGCCCACACCCCTCCAACCATCCGTCTCTTTAAGAGGTACCCTTCTAACACCATTTAAGTTTTCTATGGATAATTACCTTTAAAGCTCATCGTGTAATTGTGTTGTTTTGCTCAGTTGTACATTAGTAATATTTTGAATGATAGTTGAAGCCAGAAGAAATGGTGGCGCCGAGCCTCATAGTCACAGGCATTTTATTTTAATTTAAATATCAATTTAGAGCTCTTTGTGGCAGACCAGCGTGACCAATGGAGACTTTCAAGCATGAAAACACCTTGTATCGGGGTAAAACTTTATGGAGGGAATGGAATGGAACAATGTTTCCAAGGAGAAAAAGAAATGATGCGATATATTTGTTTTTTAAAAGAAGAGCTTTTATATCTTTTTGAACAGATGATAGAAGGTTTCAAATAGCTCGGGTGTTTATATTTCACTGGAAACTTTTTAAAGAGTGATGCGACAATTTTATTTGACTTCAAACTGTCAAGATCTACAAAGCACCAGAAATTGCATCACTTCAGCCATTTAAACTCATCGTGAAAATCTGGGGATGTCACTTGAAATGTATGACGAGGCATGTACTTTTTCAAAACTCTTTTTGGGGGCTGTGCAAGCAAAGCGGTGTGGAGACTCCCGAATGGGCACAGCCCGAGGCCCTGGGAGGCCCCAGCCGGCCTCTGAGCCTGTATTTATATGGAATAAAGGCAGGCGACAGGTGACATGTGAACAGCCCTGGTTCCTGTCCTCACTCTGCCTTCCATCCCCAACACGGCCTTGAAGGATTTGCCTCCCTTCCCAAGGCTTTTACCCTGAGCTCCTTGGAGACAGAAATGCAGTGTCACGCGGTCACGTTATCCCAGAGGGTGCACAGCCCCGCAAACCCTCCCGAGGGGTCTTTTTGACTCCAGGTTATTTGCATTTTACTCCATGACAGAATCGTTCCATTTGTAGGTATGGTTTTCATCAGTAAATGCCAGACGGAACAGGCCCTGGGACTACACTGCTTGTATTCACCCTTTTAATGATATGAGACTGAGTTCTGTCAGCCTCAGAAGCCATACTCTCCATTCTGGACTCCAGTCGAGATTCATCGGGTGGATGTGAGTCTGCTGTGTTCTCGGTCACTGTCAAGGAGCCACGACGGCTAGGGATTGGAATGAACTCTGGGTTCAAAGGCTGCTCCTGCCGAGCTGTGTGATGTTGGCCAAGCCTCTCGTGGCCTGTGAGTATCAGCTCTCTCAACCACCAACTGGGAAACACCCCCAGGAGAGGGGTCTGAGCGTAAGATGATGTATTAGTATGAAAATGCGAGGTAAGTATTAGTATAGACACAGCGGGGTATTTATCACCGGGAAGATGGGATTTTACAACATCTTTGACCATCGATAGCAGGACCCAGTGACCATGCCTGGTCTAACCTAAACATCATTAACCACAGTTCCAGCCCTTTTCTTTTTGTCTTTTTTCCCTCTTTGGAAAAAGAGAACAGTTGGTCTCCATCTCTTACATAAGAGCCTGTTATCTATTTGAACCAATGCTTCAGAAAGTCGAGAGCGCTTAGCATCTCCACGTCACCCGGCCTACACTAGACCTCGATAACCAAATCCTGCCAAATTTCTCAGGCAATAAAATTTCAATAATTCTATCTAAGTAACCATTTTCTGCCTGGAAATTTCCCTTCAAACTCTGAAAGCGAATCCTGGAGGGGTAGGAGTTGGATTAACTAAATTGTTTGCTGTCAAGTCTATGCATTTAGCTAAGGCCCCATCAAGGTGGATTGTTCTTCAGAGGGCAGAGCAAGCTCCATCCCCAGGGGCTCATCAATGTTACTCCAGTTTGGTAAGTGCGGGGCTAAAGCATTTCCCATCATACAAAGACCTGTGCTGTTGTCAATACTTTTTAAAATGCCCAAATTATGAATTTTTTTAAAAAAAACAAAAAACAGATAGAGTTTTACCGTCCAACCTCAAAAATCTGCTGGCTACCCTTCTCACGGCTGAGGTCGTGGGTGAGCCTCCACTAGGCAGGAATGCAGCACCTGGGCAGAGGGGCAAAAAGTTGAATGAAGAGGGGATGACTTGAAAGAAAAACGTGGTGCTGCCATGCTTTCAACAAAGTGGCCACGCAGACAAATGGGTCTCTGCCATGCTCCGTCTCTTTGCCTAAACCCTGCCCCCCATCTCCAGAAGCATCTCTCAACAGCTACAAGATGTTCCATGGAAACCCGAGGCCTGTAACCCCTGCCCCGACACAGGGATGCTCTCTGCTACCCGGAGGGCCCCATGGTCCAAGATCATCCCTCCTTTCTTCTCTCCTTCATCCTGGCTTCCAGCCCCCACCCTTGGCACCTGTCTGGCATCCTTTGCTTCCTGTAAGTCTCAGCTCCATCACATCCCAAAGCCTGCTCAGGTGGGTGAGACTCCCCTTCCTCTGCCCCCACAGAGCCTTGTAGCCATCTGTCTCGAAGCACCGGTTATACTGCTTATTATTTATTATTTGCTTATTTGGTCATTTCTTTACCTCCTGTCTCCTCAACTAGACTTTGAGCATCTCAAGGGCAAGAACCATGTTCTACTTGCCTTTAAATTTCCTTTCCCGAGGATACTGTTTGGCTCCTAGTAAATGCTGAAGAAACATTTGATAAATGAATGATGTCCTATCGTCCTGAAGGCTGGTAGAGGAGATATTTCGGGACCGGGAGACCTGCCCTCCTTCCCCCAAACATTTCACAACAGTATGTACATGAAAGGCTGGCCTTGGTAGCTCATGTTCCTAAAAGTGTTCCTCTTCGGTAGCTCCCCAGGGAGATTATTTTACAGAGAGGTCGCTTCCTTTGTTCTCACATCATTATGTAGTGGGCTACCTAGCTAAAAAGACCCTCTTCTGGGGGGGCTGAGACTCTTCGCGAGAGTTTTAGCTCTTACTTGTCTAGTAAGAGGCCTGTGTTATGTATAAGAGACTGTTGTTGCCCACAGACCATCATTCGCAGCGTCTGCCTTTTGCAATTTCCTACCTATACAAGCTGCGTTTACTTACCTAACATGTGTAATCCCTGCATTTGCCAGTGTCCCACCTGTAACACCTGATTTATCCACTTCTTCTCCCCAGCACCTGTCTTACAAGCTCTTATGGACAAAATTCATGTTTAGGGATTTCACCTCTGAAAATACCTGAGCCCGGGACAGGCAGGGATTGGATCTCTGGGAGGTGACCTGAACGAGAGAAAAATCACATCCAGCAAGAAAAAGGAGAAACTCCACCTAGGCCAGGTCTGTTCCCACAATGACTGGAAAGGAAAAGGACACTTGAAGACCTGTGAGTGGTCTTCATGTGTCAGAACGCCAGCCCCTTTGAGCATGGGTCCAGCTATCTCCAGGAATAGTTCCGGAATCACATCTCAGCAGTCCTCTTCTCAGGGCTTCCCTGGGGGCACAGTGGTTGAGAATCCGCCTGCCGATGCAGGGGACACGGGTTCGAGCCCTGGTCCGGGAAGATCCCACATGCCGTGGAGCAACTAAGCCCGTGGGCCACAACTACTGAGCCTGCACTCTAGAGCCCGTGAGCCACAACTACTGAGCCCGTGAGCCACAACTACCGAAGCCCGCGCACCTAGAGCCCGTGTTCCGCAACAAGAGAAACCACCGCAATGAGAAGCCCGCGCACCGCAAAGAAGAGTAGCCCCCGCTCACTGCAACTAGCGAACGGAGACCCAACACAGCCAAACATTAATTAATTAATCTTAAAAAAACCAATCCTCTTCTTTTACATTTCTTTGGCTTATGAAAAACCTTTCAAAACCCATTACTTATTTTAAAATCTGGACTCTGTGTCTTAAGTGGCCCAGATTTCCCAAACTTTTAACAAACAATTTCAAGAGTGAGCTGGGTCCCGAATACACTTTAACCCCAAGCTACCTGGGATGGCTGTCAGCAGACAGCCAGCCCAGCGCAGTGTCTGATGATCCAAGTAATAAGAGCAAGAGAAATCCTACAATCCCACATTTACATGTACAGAAGATTAAAATGCCTCGAGTGCCTGCCCAACAATGGATTCTTTGTCTCTGTCTCCTTTTAAGAGCTCAAGGAGGGCAGGTCAATCTGCCCCAGGATGGGATCCAGTCACTGGCTGAAGCTGTGTTCACAGGTGAGGCCGGATGCTGGGGGAGCCTGGCTGGTGGAACCCGGCCTCGGATGAGCTGCGTGGGCAACCGTCCTCGACAGCGAGGTGACTGATGCGAGGCCTGGAGCGAGCTGGCTCCTGGGGACACGCATGCCAAAGGCAGCAGACAAGAACGTGTTTAAAAGACTGGGAAATAAGCATACTTTGTCTTCAGCATCCTCTCGCTTCTTGTGTGGAGACTTTGTCTCTGTTCCTGGCAAACTGCCGTCCTCAGGGTCCCGCGTCCTTCAGAGCAAGGGGCTACTGTGACGGCTCCCTTCTCGGGTCACTACCGACTTCTGTGAAAATGCCTCGAGGTATTCCCCGCCCTGGGGCAACGGCCGGAGAGGTAGTGAAGGGTGGGGAGCCCCCCCGCGCCAGGGTCCTCCTCTGGGTCGCCTTCTCGGCTGTCAGCTGCTGGAACCTGGGCCTGTCACTTCTCTGCAGTGACTCTGAAAAGTCCAGCTTTGAGTGGCCGCTCTTCCTCCACAGAAGAAGGGAAAGATGGTTTTCCAGGCTGGGTCTATGTGGCATCATTTCAGATTTCAGCTACAAGCTTGCCACGTGACAAAGCGTGATTATTTCCACGGGGCACTGAACTGCCTGGGATACCTAGGCAGCACTGTTTTAATTTGAGAAGTCACAGCTTTTAGAGCTGGAGGAGTCCTTGGGAATCATGCCTAGCTCAACCCCCATGTTTACCAATAAAGGAAATAAACTCCAAGGAGAAGGGTGTCAAAATAGAGCAGATAATTCCCAAAGGCAGCAAAATTAGGACCAGAGCCCTCCCCTCACCCGAAGCAAAGGACCACAGCGTCTACTGTCAGGAACGAGACTCAGGTCACAACCAAAGAGATTTAGATGCGGCCTAAAGGAGACCTTGCTGGTGACGGAGATGATTAAATACCAGAACAGACAGCCACAGGGATTGTGAAATCGTCCTCCTGGGAGATCTTTTAAAATAGGACAGTTAACCATCTGTCTGAAATGGTTTAAGTACAGCCCTGCCTCGGAGGTAGGAAAATAATGGATGACCCTCGTCACCGTCACATTTTGGGCTCTGTGATCACACCTGGACGAAGGTGCACCACGGGGACCCAGGTGGGTCTGAGTTGCCCCCCACGGGGAGTCAGATGCCGGAGCTGCCGAGAGGGTGGGAGACGCAGTGCTCTGGGTGGATGAGGGGGGACTGGGGCTACACAGTGGAGGCTTGTGCTGGAGCTTCTGGGGGAAGAAGGTGCTGCAAGAACCAGAGATGTCTATTTCCCGGGACCCTCCCTGGCCTCCGACCCCTCCTAACCCCCCGGGCACTCCCTGCCACGCGAGTCCAGGGTTCTGCAGCCCACGCCAGCGGAACCAAGGGACCCCCGAGAAACGCAGGGCTGCAGCAGCCTTGCTTTGTTTCCAAGTGGCAAAGCGTAATACCCCGGGGACAAAAGAGCAGTCTCCCCATTTCTTTTTAAACGTCCAGAATTACTCTGGACTCATGAAAACTCCAGTGGAAACGGCTCCCGGTCAGGACTTCCACCGGGAAGCTTTGCAGCAGCGGGAGCCTCCCGGCGGTGGGGGTCACCCTGCCGGCGGGGCCAGGGCCGAGGGGGGACTCCACCCTGCAGGGGCGCCGGGTCCTCCTGTGCCAGTGGGCGGCCTGGCACCTGCGCTGCACAACGGGGCTGCTGGAGCCTCGGGTCTGGGCCCCCAGGGCCCCCCCACAGGCCGTCTCCTCTGCCCCTTCTCCTCACCAGCCCCTGAGTCTTTCCCCCAAGCTGCGTTGGGCATCTCTTAGCGCCCTGCACCTTCCTAATTATTCCCACCTGTTCACACATCTCTGGGCCCTGCTGGTCTACAGACTCCTGGAAGACAGGGACTGTGTCCCTCACCACTGTGTCTCCAAGGCCTGGCACATAGCGAACACTCAGAAACATCCTTGTCGAATAAGTGAATGAATGAATCAATGAATTAATTAATTAATGAGAAACCACGACCTCTAACGCACTGGAGGGCACCATTCGCCCTCGAATGATTCCTAAGTGATCGGGTACCGGCCCCACGAGTTCCTTTGCCCTTCTCCCTGAGCTGTGTGCTGGGGTTACTTTGCATAGAGCAGTGAAGCAGGAAGGCTCACTGGGGTCGTCTGGTGGCCCCGGTGACGGTAGACGACCCCACTGCACCCTCACCCTTAGCGCCTCCGCCCCTGCCTGGAGACCTCGGGGGACAGGACACTCAGGCCCAGCTGGGTTGTTCCTTCCATCTCTGGACGACTCTGGCAGGGAGTGAGTTCTCCGTTAACGCTGAGTTCAGTCTCTTCCTCTGATGTCTTCCCTGCGGTTCTGACGCAGCTCCCAGCTTCACACGGAGGCCATGCACTGTCTTCCACGCTCCAGGGGGACACGGGAGACGGAATGTGGCCCTTGGACCTCGAAGGACTTGGAGGTGAGCCTTACTTTGCCACTTGCTAAGTGTGAGTTTGGGTGAGTCACTGAACCTCTCCAGGCCTCAGTTTCCTCATCTGTATAACGGGAATAATGATCCCACCCTACAGGGGGTGTGGTGGGGACTAAAGTGACTTAACATGTCTAAGGCACAGCAGATACTCACGGTGTGATGCTTATTATTAAATAAATGCTCTAATGGAGATAATATATTTCAATTCCTCCTCTCTGCTCCATGAATCTTTTCTTCTCCAGGCAGAAGCATGAGCTACTGTCGCCTCCTCTGGCATCATCGTCTCTTTGCCCATCAGCGTTCCCCGCAAAAGGATTGAGCTGCCTCCCGGGGGGTGTGACTAGCTCGGTACAGCCAACACCACCTTCGTTTTGGACGCCGCGCTTCTGTTAATGGAGCCTCAGGTGCCTTTAGCTCCATTGTTGGCAGCTGCATCCGCTGTGGTTCCTGTTCCTCTTGTCTCCAGAGTGAGCTAGTTGCTGAAGGTCTGACTTTGGGGGTGGTGGGGTGAGGACGAGCTGGGGATTGTTGCTGGTTTTTTCTCGTCTGTTTTAGTGTGAGATTGCCAGAGAACCTTTGCCCTCGGGATTATAGTAGGAGTCATATCCAAGGCCCTGAAGACAACGTCCTCAACCCCACGAGGACAGTGAAAGGCCCTGGGAGACATATGGCACGGAAGAATGGGGGTGAGGCCGACTTTCCGGGAAAGAAGGTCGGGTTAGACTTTTGTGTTTTGAAGGTGTAAAAGCAGCCTGGGGGGAGGGATAAATTGGGAGATTGGGATTGACACAGACACGCTACTATATATGAAATAGATAACTGATAAGAACCTACTGCACAGCACAGGGAATTCTATTCCATACTCTGTGATGACCTATATGGGAAAAGAATCTTTAAAAGAATGGATACATGTATACGTATAACTGATTCACATTGCCGTACAGCAGAAACTAACACAACATTGTAAATCAACTCTACTCCAATAAAAAAAATTAATTAAAAAATAAAAACAACAAAAATAAAAGCACCTGGGTTTGGAGGAGAAAGAGGACCCGTGTTCCGGGTTCCTGAGCCCCGTGCACCACCCCAGGGTGGTCTGTGGCCCGGACAGAGCTGCACGTGTGAGGGGGCCAAGGACCACTGGGCACAGGCATCGCACGGCAGCTGCTCAGGAGCCAGAAGGAGGGGGTCAGCTGGACACAGCGATGGTGCTCACGTGGTGGGGCACTTCTGCCCACACTTCCCCTGGGGTTCCCTGTGAGTCCGGGAGTGGGGAGCCCACACCCCCTCCAGGCCAGCGGGACACCAGGGGCGGTTCAGCTGAGCCTGTCGCTGCATTTCCCTGGAGCCCACCCATCTTTGGATCAGACGGGCCAACCCTTAGTTTTTCACAAAGCAGGCCCCCCAGAAGCCAGCACTGTGGAGGTGTTTCTGGCAAGGAAGATTCTTTCTTGATGTGTGTTATTATTTCCAGCGCCAGGGCTTCAGCAACTGTTAAATCAGAACCTAGTTCTGTAAATACTCCTGATTTGAAGAGCCATGTTCCCTCTCTCTGCTTCAAAATCCAAGCCCGAGCTGGCAGCAACAAGTCGTGGATATGGATGCACCACAAACACGGCTCCACGGTCAGCACATCTCCCGACGCCCCGCCCGTAATTCAGAGGATGAAGCAAGGTCATTAATAAACACCACCGAACCGTGTCTCCTTTCACGCATTCTGCATGAAAATATCGCAGCCCCAGCGAACAGCAAACAAGTGTAAGGGGCTGGTCCGATGCACGTCTGAACGCCCGCCAACACCGCCCTGTAGCATGGCTGTGTCTCCAGCAGCTTCATCTGAAACATCAATTGTCCTGACTTTGCCTTCAGCCAAAGTAAAGGTGCATCGGGCAGGTTTAGTCAGTAAAGGAAGGAAGACCCAGGTGCTAACTCCATTCTTTAAAAAATCCTTTTCAAGAGCAGCAGAGCCTATTCTCAGCATGTGCCACCGGTGAGCACGGGCTGAGCCTCCTGGCTGGAGGGGACCCGAAATGAGGCAGGTGACAGGCTGGTGTTCTTGCTGGGAACTGTCTATGACACTGAGCCCGGTGGAGGTCACGATGATATAAACACTCAGATAAAACCTACAACCAGGAAGGACCTCCAGCAGAGATGGGTGAGGGGTGGCACCACAGGAATGCCCAAGCTGTGCCCCAGGCGTGCCCTCCGTCTCCAGGGGCCAGGCCTCCGGCGGGCACTTGTCCCCCCAACTCACGTCGCGTCAACCTGCACACACCTCACCGCGTGGAGGGGTTCGGACGGGAGCGTGGGCCACCCCCTTCCTACCCGCCAGCACACAGGCAGAAGGAGCAAACATCTGTCTCAGGATAGAGAAAGCACAAACCTGAGGGTGACACACTCACGGTCAGACTGACCGCAGGCCGTCCCCCTCGGAATCACCCTCCGCGTGCCCTGGAGCCCACGACACATGGGAGAGGGCAAAAGGTCAGCGGGCACCTTCATGGGGAAACGGACGCTAAGACAGAAGAGAAACCAGCTGGAGTTTATTCCAGCAAGGAGGCTGTGTGCAAACAAAGCATCCTGTAACAGGTGCCAAGCCTCAGCCACCCTGCCGCGGGCAGCTTCTCCCTTAAATCTTTCCCACAATCCCTCGAGGGACCCCTGTCACCTTCCTCACCTGCAGATGTGGAAATGGGGCACAGGGAGGGGCAGAGTCACACTCCAGTGGTCACGGTCTCCTCACCGCCATGCAGCCTCTAGTACGGAGCTGACTCTGCACTGGAGCCTGTCCCGGTGACCCCAACCAGGAAGGGAGGGCGGGAGACCGGCTCAGCCCAGGCTGGCCCATTGCCGGTGAGTTTCACCAGGGTGGTCCCGACCGGGGCTGTGTGCGGGGGGAGCTTAAACACATACCTGGGACCCGGCCCGGAGGTGCCCACTCAGCCAGCCGGGAGCACAGCCTGGCTTTGGGGTTTTAAGTCACCCCAGAACCTTTGCTGCAGAATAAGGGGGAAGCAGGAGAGGAGAAGAGACAGGGACCCAAGCAGACCAACTTTCCAACTTCACTTCCAGAGGAAATAAGGGTGGAAATAAAAACAGAACTTTCTTCAGGCCCTGACATGGAACCAGGAAGCGGGGAAGAGACAGGGAAGCACTGTCTTCTGTGTGGCTGAGCCTGGAGGACTCACACCGGGCCGGCAGGGAGCAGCCCAAACCCACCGGGATGGCAGGATGCTCAGGGAAGGGGAGAAGCCCTTGAGCTTCCTGCACTGAGACCACACTGATGAGAAAGACAGGATCCAGGCTGGATCCCTAGGAGAGTGAGGGTGTCTGACCCTTTGGATATTCCAGTTTTGAGGATGACGAGAGGATCTGCCTGGTGGGGAGGACCAAGGTCACCACAGGCAGGTAAGCAGCGGGGCTCCAGATGCCTGTGTGACAACAGAACCAAGTCTGTGGCTGGCAACTCACGTTAGGTGACCTCTGAAAGGTCTAAGCCACTCTATCCTCAATCAGGGCTGAGATGCACCGTGGGACCTGGCTTGCCTTCCGGCAGCCAACACACACTTGTAGGTCCTTGCCTGACACAGGGACCAAAAGGGAAGGTGTAAGCGCAAAGCTCACCTCTGCCTTTGGACCTCGTGTCACGGGGAGTGTCCCCATCCTGCTGTCCTCTCGCTGGTGGTCCAGCTGCTACCGACCTCCCGTCTGGTACAAAAGTCCACGTCCGATCCTTTCTGCCTCGGCTACTCTCATTCAAGCTCATGCCGCCTGGACGTCCAGCACTGCCTGTCCACAGCGCCAGCCCCGTGCACCGTGGCCTCATGCCCGCCGGAGCCCCGCTCCCGTCAGACCCCCGGCTGTCTGCCCTGGCCCCGTGCAGATGGCTCTGCCCTGCTGTGGCTCGTGCCTGGGCTCTGGAAAGATGAGCACAAATAACCCCGTCAACAGACAGACACAGCTTCACAAGCACCTCAGGAACCAGGACTCAGGCCCCTGCGTGTGTGCAGACAAAATGCAGCCCCTGGGGGCGGCCAGCACAGCACAGCCACCCGGCGTGGGATCACCGCCCAAATAAAGACCGAACCCGTAAAATCCGGCTCCAAAAATACGTTTTTGGCAAAATAATCTATGAAGTTCTTGGTTTGCGAGAGTAAGGAAATTAAACCCCCCTCCGCCCAAAAAATAATCTATGTTGGGCAAGGTTTTATCTTGACAATGTTCCTTTAACTGATGTAAAATGTGAAGAAATTGACTGTAATTGATTCCAAGGGATGATGCCAGAGATTCCTCAGCATTAGATCCTAGCTTAAAATAGGGATTATTGGGGCTTCCCTGGTGGCGCAGCGGTTGAGAGTCCGCCTGCCGATGCAGGGGACGCGGGTTCGTGTCCCGGTCTGGGAAGATCCCACATGCCGCAGAGCAGCTGGGCCTGTGAGCCACGGCCGCTAAGCCTGCGCGTCCGGAGCCTGTGCTCCGCAACGGGAGAGGCCACAGCAGTGAGAGGCCCGCGTACCGCAAAAAACAAAAACAACAAAAACAAAATAGGGATTATTGGGCCTGGTGAGTACGTGGGTGTTATTTTTTTAATCTCTCCTCTGCAGTTCGGACGTCGTTAAAGCCCAGGATCTCGCCCACTAGCAAACAGATGACCCCAGCCAAGGGCCGACTCAGGACCCCATAATCTGCTTTGTGCCGCTGCTGCCGGGACCCAGTGAGCCCAAGAGCCGGTGAGGCTCCCCTTCCAGGCCGGGCGTGGGGTGCTGTTGACACAAGTGAGACTCTCCGCTTCCCGGTGGGTCTGTACAAAACCCAGGGACCGTCCAGGGGCCGAACTGTCCCCTCCCTTCTTCCTGCCATAGCGGTCGGTTCACAAACACCTGGACGCCCGCACGGTCTGAGCGGCAGGCAGGGGCTCCCTCTGTCCGTGATCTCCTGCCCCGAGAGATGGGGACAGGTTTGTGGTAAGAAATGGAGCCGCAGTGGGGCCCCTCATCACGACTGGAGTGGAAGGAGGGAGAAACGGTGAACAGAAAACTGTGTGGCGGTCAGCTTGCCCCACTTCACGGGGTGAAGGGAGACGGCGGGTGGGGGAAGGATGGAATCCTTTCACCAAGAGGTGACATAAAGACCATGAAAAGGAGTGAGGTGCGGCTCCGAGCTACAGTTGGATGAACATGCAAACGTCATGCTTAGTGAACAAGCTGGATACAGAAGTCCATACACTGCATGATTCCACTGGTACGAAAACTCCAGAATAGGTAGATCTACAGAGACAGAAGGCAGTTTAGTGGATGACAGGGGCTGGGGCATAGGGGGATGGAGAGTGGCTTCTAAAGGCATAGCGGTCCCTCTGGGAGGGACTAGAGGACCTTGGGTCTAGAGAGAAGTGGCGGCCACACATCGTGAATGTCCTTAATGCCACTGAATTGGACACTGTAAACTGTCTAATTTTCTATTCAGTGAATTTCACCTCAATAAAGTAATGGAATGTTTTAAATGCAACTCGAACATATAGTCCAGTGAACAAGAAGTGGTTTCCGGATAGACTGTGCCCCACAGCACTGTGTTTCGCGTCTCTCTTTCCTGCCCTGTGTTTGGAAAACTCCCTAAAACTGAGCAAGTCATTTCCAATCTCGGGGCCTCAGTTCCATAGCGAAAGACAACAGCCTGGG